ACATGTATGGATGTGGGTGGATGGATGGATGGATGGATGGGCAGATACATGAATGGATACCTTCTTCCAACTTCTGAACTAGAAAACAATTGAAGGTCCACAGTATTTTTGGCTTATGCACAGCATCATTAAAGATCTGTGCACACAAATGTCCAGTCATCCATCATTGTCAAGGCCTAAAATGAGTAGCTGCTCAATAAACATCTGCAGACAGGAAGGAGGGATGAAAGGGAGGGAAAGTACAACAGAGCGAGACCACAGTGGTTTATCAGAATAAGACACAAAGCACCAACTTAACAAAGAAATGAAAACAAAAAAGCAGCAGAGGAGAGTGGAGGTACAACCTTTTATTAGATAGTGTTAGAGTCCGTCATTGTCACCTCAGCAGCCTCCACTCATGGGTGTGCCCATGGCTTCTTGCTGCAAGTCCCTGTGACCCTGTGCCAGAGGGCTTTTTGCGGCTGCAGAACCTGGCTTGGCTAAACGCTCTGGAGAGTCAAAGCCCAGAGCAGCCCTTAACCATGATGGAAGGGAGTGGGTGGGTAAGTCATCCAGCTTCCCACCCTTCTGGAGGGACAACTTGCAAGCATGTTCTCTTTGGTCTCCCAGAGTTCAATGAGCCCCAAATGCCCAGAGAGGCGATCTGCTCCTTAGGACACCTGGCCCTGGTTTCCTACAATTCCCTGACACCTTTCCCAACTCATTTGCTCTTGCTTTTCAGGATCACCTCCAAAGCTCACAACCTGCACTCACATCTCGGTCATGGGGTCTGCTTCTGGAGGACCCCAAGCTAGACAGGCACCAACAGGAATAGGTGTGAACCCCTTAGACGGAGGTCACATAAAAAGTTTTGATCATCTCACACTTACCCTGAGTGGTTCCAAAAATGTGCAGAATTATTAAAAACCTTTCATGAACTAGGGAAAATCTCAGACCTAGCACAATGGCTGACCAGTTGTAAAAATAGTTTAAAGCAATTTCATGCTTCCATCCCACTCTGGAGTGTGCAAGAATTCAATTCCCCATTCAGTGCAGGTGGATTTCTTGAATCCTTACTTTGGCTGATCCCTTTATACCCTTCTGCTGTAAGAAAAGTTCACATGTGTAACTCAGAGTCCCTTTGTCCTCAACCAGCTTCCAGACTTCACCCACTGAACAGAGTGATGGAGGGTCAAGCTCTGGTGTGTGGGATGGCTAGTGTCCCGTCCACCTTGGGAGGTGGCCCTGTGGCAAAAAAAAAAAAAAAAAAAAAAAAAAAAAAATTTTTTTTTGGAAAATTCAAAAAAAAAAAAAAAAAAAAAAAGGAACCAAAATGTGCACGGCATGGTTCCATTTTAAGTGCATGGGCATATATTAGTTATCTGATCTGATTCTTTTCCACAGGAAATATATAGACATATATGAGCCATTATCTAATGACTCTGACTACTTCTAACTGATGTCTTCCCTGGGGGCCAGGGGGCAGGGTGCTCTTGTTTTTTCCTTCACCGAAAGAGAGAACCATCTTAGCCATGTCTCTGTTCCTCTTTCGGAATGTCACTTTCCCAAGAACTGACACAGTGTCTCTTTCTCCATTCCATAGGCCATAACCAACCTCATGCCTGGTAGACGTTCAGCAGACACGGGTTGGGTGAATGAATAAAGGATGGATGGATGGATGGATGGATGGATGGATGGATGCTTTCCTACTAGTTTTCTCTCCTTCTTCTTTCCCTTTTTGGGAAATCCTTTTCCCAAAAATCTGCCTTCTCCATTAATATGATCATGTTTTAAAGAGAGTTTGAAAGGAATTACAAGTTTGCATTTGTTTTTATATGGTCGGAGAGTTTATACAATAGCTTAACACATTTATTCTGCTGCATTAACTGTTTGCTTGGTCTTCAGTCTGTCATCTTCGTTTATGATTTCTATTTTTTATGTTTTCTTCATGTTTCCAATTTATTTCCTTCCCTACTTTTTGCCATATTGCATAAGCAATGCTTGCTCTCTTTTCTTGTTATTATTTTTAGAAATTTTCCGCTCATCTTTAACAATAGTAATGTTTACATTTCTAAGTACAACAGTAATGACTACATGTATCATTATAATAATAATATAACTTTTCCATCAACATTTATAAGCTGCATCTCCTAGCTCCTCCACATAAAAGAATTAACAAGTAGCATGTTAATATTTTTTTTCTTCTGCCCAGCCTCCCTTCCAAGATTTTGCTGAAGTCATTGGGAATTCGAGGTGCAAATTATCACCATTGCATGATTTTTATATAACAGGTCATTTCTCTATAGTATGTTATTTTTCTTTACTTTTGCATGAAGTTGTATGATCTTGTTATCGATGGTTACTTATTAACTAACTCATTTCATGCAACTTATTTTATACCATATCTTCACCATTTCTGCTTCCACGTTTTCTTCACTGTTCAGTTTTCAAGGGCTCATCTGTGGCGACTTTTGCTGTAAGTCGTCAGGGCCCTTCCGGTTCCGGGAATGTCACCATGTGGCCACAGTAGGGGACAGGACTCGGCAATACTGGATGCTGGCGTTACATCCTTCCTATCAAAACTCAGAGGCTGAGGCCCCGCTAGTACGGCTCTCTCATGCCAAGAAGTCTGCATGTTGGCCTGTTCTGTTTTGGAAGGTTACCTGCATTTCTGGAACTGGACGTCTTCACCAACAGATGCCTCCTTATACACTTCTGTTTTTAAAGTCCAAAATGCAAACAGCTTTACTTCTTCCTTTTGGTCCCAGACAGCGGGGAGAGAGAAGGTATGTCTTCCCAGTGCTGAGACTACAGGTGCACAGGGCCCAGGTGGGGAGACAACCCCAGGAGCAGAGCCTCTCAGGAGGTGCACCTGCTAGTGGTCAGAGCCCCTGAGACGCCAAGGCGCGGCCCTCCCAAAGAGCCCGCTTTTACCATCTGTGCATGCCCATGACAGCAGACTCACAGGGAGCCCTTCAAGGTTGCTGAGACCGCTGCCCACCTGCCCCTCTCCTCCAGCCCTGGCTATTGAGCCTGGGCTCTTTGCCCAAGTAGCTTTCTGGAAAGCAGCTCTGTCAGGAGCAGTTATAGGACAGGGACCTCCATACTGTGCCTAAGTAGAGGCTTCCTTATGGAGTTTTCTGTGGCCTCCTGGCGTCAGGACTCTGCCCCTCTCCCACTTACTTCTCTAACGGTGTAGAAGCCTCCTGAGGTTGCCTTGGAAGTCTTGGACCCCCTTGAGTGAGCACAGCGCCTTTCAGCCTGGGCACCTGTTTTCTGATCTGTTTCGGGAATGTGTCCACAGCCGGTTATTGGAAAACCCCAATGTTATGTCCAGAGTGGGGCTGGGGCCTTGATTTTTCAAAGTGGGGCTGGGGCCTTGATTTGGAAAGACACAGCTCACTGTCGGGAAAACCCATATGAGATGTCAGGCCCTTTGCATATATCCTCTCAGAAATAACAGCCATGGTTTTTGCACCTTCCCCCACCCCCTACACCTATATAATTGACGTCTTCAGTTAGCGACGTCTTCAAGAAAGAGAACACATATCTGTACTTCATATTCCTGGTCACAGTCACCACAAGGGAAGGTAATACACAGACCGATCCACACATGCCACTTGTTTGCGTGGTGGAATTGTGGGAAGTAACAAAATATGAGTGTTTGCAAGACAGATATTCGAATGTGACATTTTATTCTTTCTTCCCAAAGGTCTTGACCCACCCACCACGTGAATCAATTATTTTTCTGGACAGCTTCCTGACGTTCCCAAGGAAACAGAGAAAATGACAGGTAATTAGGGGAAAGCATGCCAACAAGCCCTCCACCCTAACATGGCAGAAGGGTGCTCCCCACACCTAATTTATCAACGCTTGTTCTTTCCCACCCGAGCCAAGGACACGGGATTGCTTGGCAAACGGGGGAGAGAAAGGTCAAGTCATTCTGTGCCTTTTCTGGAAACGTATTTTTGTTTGGGTCAATCCCCCCAACAAATTATGGTCTTGTCCTACTGCTGCATTGGTGGGATTCTTGCGAGCGTTATTTAGTACATTTAAGAGGCGTGCAAGACCCAAATGGATTTAAAGTTAAAAAAAAAAAAAAAAGTTAGCCAAACTGAATGTTGAATTTGTTTGCATTGTTCCACTGGTTCCCACTGGAGCTTAATCATCACAGCCTTTCAGTCCTCGGTGCCTGCTTCAAGATGCAGCAGAAATCAAATTTGAGGAGTCTGGACGCTTTGTTTTCATGTAACTCATTAAGCGTTTCCCCATGTGCTGTGATAGATGTTTCTCCCAGCCAGGAATTTCATACCACGTGTACATGCCCCTATTTTGCTCAGCAGAGTAATTCTCAGGATATACAAGCTAATGATGCCTGTGGTTTCGAAACGTCATTGTTATTGTTTGTGCAGGGCATTTGGAAAATCTGTAGACAGGTTATTAAGAGGATGCTGAGCAGTGAAAACATTATTAGGCCTTATTATTGTTTATTGTACCCAGATGTTGTGCATTTCGAGCGTCCCGAAGGATTAGGGGTGATGTCAGATACCAAAATCTTGCTTTTCCTTGCGGATACTAAGTCTTAATTTTCCCCATTAAAAACAAAACATTTGCACCAAGTGGATTGTGCTTGGGCAAAACGTCGGTTGGCGGTAAAGCCATGCTGCTCAGATGAGACGTAGGGGCATAATGGAAAACCAAAACAAAGCCTTGGCTACCGTCGGAAATTCCGGTCTGAAAAAAAAAGACTAACGAGGTGTACATTCAGGATGAAATAAATCATGCCAGCCAACATGCAGAGGGGCAATTTCAAAGAAAAATTTTTGTTCTCAATGAAAAGGAAGGCAAAGGCAGAGCAAACCCTGCCGATAAGTTCCTAACAAGGGCCAGACACTCTGCTCAAGGCAATCAGAGGGCGTTTGACTGTTGGTCGATTGAGACACGTCATGGGAAAACAATGGTTTGGCCCGCAAAGTTAGCCCTGCTAACTCCACTGGATAGCAAACCATACCAAAAAGCCAACGATTTGTGATAATGAGGAACCCGTTTTTAAAACGACACGTTAACGCTGCACCCAGAATAAACAAAACCAAGATTATTGTATGTGAGAATTCAATATATAACAAATAATCACTCCATTCTAGGAAAAGAAGAATTATGTAATCAATGATGCTGGCTTGTAAGCAATTTGGGGAAAGCGAATCTAGAAGAAACCCAGCAGGGATTGCGTTCACAGGCTTTCTGCCTTCGGGCTTCCTGCTGGCTTGGCCGATGGGAGGACATCAGGAGACCGGAAGGAGGGGGACAGTGTGTGTAAGGTAGTGTCCCTGATTCCCCGCCTCAAGTGACTGCGGGAAGCCTGCTCCCCTGTTCTAATGGCCACCGTGTGGCTCGGGCAGCCTTTGCATACAATACTCCAGGTTCAGGAAATGGCTTCCTCCTCTGCCCCTTGAGGTGTGAGGATGATCAGAGTTCCCAGTCGCTGCCCCGTCCAGGGAGCTCCCCATCCCTGAGCATCCCTGCCGTTGCTGTGGTGACGTCCTCAAGCTCACCTCAGCCACCAGATCTAGCGGGCCATCTGTTTCCTCCTGGAGCTGCCGAGCGTTACAGGTGCCCTGGGGACAGCCACTAAGCTTCAGCCTCACGTGCAACTTCGGATTTTGAGGTTTATCCATTCACACGAGGCTGGAGTGGTTCTGGTCCGTGCTCTGCAGACATGCACACGGCTGGCCTCTGGGTAACACTGCCCTGTCACCCGGTGGTTCTCACCAGGGGCCACTGCGACCCTGGGGACCTTTGGCTGTGTCGAGACATTTACGGTTGATACAGCGGGGGTCAGGGTGCTGCTGGGCCCTTGTGGGTGGAACCCAGAGATGCTACGCACCCTACAATGCACAGGACACCAGCCCTAATAGTGACCCAGCCGGGGATGACTATGCTGCCCTCAAGAACCCTGTTGTGCCTGTTGGAGGAAACATGCATTCACAGCAGTAGCTCAGCAAAGCCAACTCTTCCTCAGTGGAAAGCTGATGAGTCCACTTGGAAAATAAAATTTCTGCCACTGGCTCATTAGTGAGTCCCGACCAGAGAGGGAGTAGTGGCTGTGTGATCCTGAGAAACACTGTTGTCAATCCCTGAAGGCCCCATGTACCCTTCTCTGTCCTTGGGATGGGCCCCCCACGTGAACTGGGAATCTCTCACAAGAGCCCACGAGTGTCCCTGTGCGGGAATGTACAGGGTGTGGCCTCTGCGTCTGGCTACTGAGATTCAGGTCCAGCTGCTACCATTGCTTGATTGGGTTGATTTATTTCATCTCTGGTAGGTTCTGTGTCATCATTTGTAAAGCGTGGGTACTGCCAGTTGGAAATTTTTTTCTTTAAAGTTTATTTATTTATGTATTTAGAGAGAGAGAGAGAGAGAGAGAGAACAGGGAGGGTCAAAGAGAGGGGGAGAAAGAGAATCCCAAGCAGGCTTCATGCTGTCAGTGCAGAGCCCTGATGACGTGAGATCATGACCTGAGCCGAAATCAAGAGTCAGAAGCTCCACCAACTGAGCCACTCAGATGCCCCTAATAGTCGCAAATTCTGTAGGGTAATGGAAGGGATTAAATGAGAAAATACATGCCAAAGGCTTATGCTAAGCTGCTATGAATGTGGCCCTACAGAGAGAACCCTACCATCGAGCCTCTTATACAATACACTGGGCTAAATGAATTCATCAGGATTTGCTTGTTTTCTTGGTAAGACCTATTAGAGCCTTTAAAGTGTTACTAAGCATTTGGACTCTCTAGGAAAAGAGCACAATACACCACCATCCCCAAGCCCAGGCACCACTCAATGCTGCTCTGAACCGGACTCCTTTTACGTCACAGAAGTAACCTCCGGCCAACACAGGTAGATGCACCATTGGGCCTCCACAACATGCTGACCAACAATCCAATGTGGTGGCTTCCATAATTGAGTTTTGAATGTTGAACCAGCCTTGCACACCTGGAATAACTCCCTTGGTCATGGTGTTTAATTACTTTTATAAACTATTAGATTTGATTTGCTATTATTTTGTTGCGGGGGGGGGGGGTTGCATCTGTGTTCATGACAGATACTGCTCTGTCATTTTCTTCTCATAACGTCTTCATCTTTGATACTAAGATAATGCTGGTCTCAGAGAAAGCAGTTAGAAAGTATTCGCTCTACTTCTGTCTTCTGAATAAGACTGTAGAGAATTGGTATAATCCCTTCCCTAAATATTTGGTAGAATTCACCAGTGGATCTATCTAAGCCTGGCACTTTCTTTTTTGGAAGGTTAATTATTGGTTCAATTTCTTCAATAGATATAAGCCTATTCAGATGATATGAGTTTTGGTAAATTGTGTCTTTCCAGGAATTGGTCCATTTCATTTATCTATGTAATTATCACATTTGTGGGCACAGAGATGTTCATAGTATTTCTTTATTATACTTTTTTTTTAACGTTTATTTATTTTTGAGACAGAGAGAGACAGAGCATGAATGGGGGAGGGTCAGAGAGAGAGGGAGACACAGAATCCGAAACAGGCTCCAGGCTCTGAGCGGTCAGCACAGAGCCCGACGCGGGGCTCGAACTCACGGACCGCGAGATCATGACCCGAGCCGAAGTCGGACGCCCAACCGACTGAGCCACCCAGACACCCCTCTTTATTATACTTTCAATAGTTCATATATTTTATATTGATCGCTTCCAGCTCCTATCTCAGAGGGTGGCACTTTCTGATTTCCCCCAAATCAAAGTCCACCTCTGGGAGTCTGTAGCTACACTGGACAATTTTACTCCTGACTTTCTATTGTTTTTCTTTGATCAGTTATTCATATTGACCTGGGTTTTCAATGTGGATGTGGATTGTTTGTGAACATGTGTCATATCTTTAGTCATTTAAAGACACATATATTTTGTTTTCCAACATTTACCTTTCTTAGCTTAACTTAGAAAACAGTTAAATCGGGCTACCTGCTCAACATAATCTGGCTCTATGTGAAATATTTTTTGAAAACCTCTCTCAGGGCGCCTGGGTGGCTCAGTCAGTTGAGTGTCCGACCGCAGCTCAGGTCATGATCTCGTGGTTCATGAGTTCAAGCCCCACGTCGGGCTCTGTGCTGACAGCTCGGAGCCTGCAGCCTGCTTCGGATTCTGTGTCTCCCTCTCTCTTTGCCCCTCCCCTGCTCGCATTCTATCTCTGTCTCTCAAAAATGAATAAACGTTAAAAAAAAAAAAAACCTCTCTCTACATTATCATGTCATTCAAGAAATAAATTCATATACAGAGATGACAGAAGTACCTTATTTGTCAGAGTCAAAACATATATTTAAAAAAAAATTTTTTTGAGAGAGAGAGAGCACACAAGCAGGGGAAAACAAGAGAGAGAGAGAGAGAGAGAGAGAGAGAGAGAATCTCAAGCAGACTCTACGCTCAGTGCAGAGCCTGACATGGGGCTCCCTCTCATGACCCTGGGATCATTACTTGAGCCAAAATCGAGAGTCAGATGCTCAACCAACTGAGCCACGCAGGTGCCCCAAAAGCATATATATTTAAAATGTGTTTATAAACCATAAAGTACTACAAAATATAGAAGCATTTACTCTCCAGTTTGGAATTACCCCACTTAAAAAAATAAACAAATCCAGGTAATAGGAGAATGCCCAGAGAAATTACTGCTGGAGAAAAGGAATGCCAGGCTTCACACGCTGGTGATTTAAAGTTGGACAAGCACTAAAGCACCCCACTCTAGGTTCTGGGTGACGGCTTGTTTGAGTAACACATCCTGAAGGCAGAGGCCACTTTACTTTGTAGGTTAGAGAACAAGAAAGAAAGCAAACAAGCCACAGAGGACCAAAATAGAGAAGGAAACCCATCTGTTACGTGAAGAACTATGTTCCCCAAATCTCATATGTTGGAGTCCTAACCCCTAGGAGCTCAGAATGTGAGTCTACTTCAGAGGCATGGTCTTTAAAGAGGTAATTAACGTGAAATGCGGTCTCTGGGGTGGTCCCACTGGGGCGGGACACTGGGGTGTCCCATATGACAACGTCCTTACAAGAAGAGGAGATCAGGACACAGACAAGCGTAGAGGAGAAGAAGGAGAAGGAGCTGTCTTCACACCAAGGAGAAAGACCTCGGGAGAAACCAACCCTGTGGACACCTTGGTCTTGGACTTTCAGCCTCCACGACTGGGAGGAAATAAAAGTCTGGTGTTGAAGCTGCAGCCCACGCAGATGTGTCTCGTGCTGGATATCCTACAGGCCCATCACCAAGTATGGATTCCCATCATCGCCCCAGCTGTCACCCAGAGAGGTCTCTGCTGGGGTGTCTCATCACTTACCCTGGCTTCTGTCATTATGGATTTTCTCTTTGAAATGTAACCAAAGCTTCTCTGCACACATTCGATTTGCCCATAGGGTCATGGAATATCTGGTTTCACTGACTCACATGAAACTTCCATTTTGGTCCAGCAACATGACACTTTCCTTCTTCTGCATGTTTTAGAATAATTTCAGAGTCAACAATCTCTTCATTATAGGACTCAACCTGAAGTTCATCCCGTGGGTCAGTCTGATGTTTTGAAACAACAGCTTCAGTATAGATTCCAAATGATCACAGATATTATCAGACTGAAAAAAAAAAAAATCTGTGTGGCTGGAAACACGAGGGAGGAGAGACAAAAAGTGAGAGAGACAGAGACAGAGACACAGGTGTGGGTACACTTGAGTAATTAATTGAGTAACAACAAGAGGAATGACAGCAAGGTTCACAAGGCACTAACAGTAGTGCTTGTCTCTCGAGCACCTGCTCTGGTTTGCGCACCGTCTCTAAGTTCTGACCCTCCGATGCCCCTGAGAACCATGTCTTGTGTTCTCATGACACAGAAAGCAAGATGGCGGCACAGCATGTTAAGCAACGCCCTGCCCCCCGCCCCCTCCCAGGGCCCTAGAGCTGGCAAGACACCAACCCTGGGCTGAACTGACTTCACAGGTAGACAGCACTCCCACACAGCATGCCGCATCCCCTGCACGGGCAGGATTTCAGAAAGGACACCCCTGCAAGCCCAAGGCACCCTGCACGTTGAGCACAGCCCAGTGCCTTGTCACACCAGGGGAGGATTCTAAGGCCAGACTTCCTGTTCTGCCGGGGTACGTGTGGGAAAGACATTGCTGAGATGGTTTAACTGTGTTGTCAGTTGTGAACAGCTCTGAGCACAGGGCCATAAACCAAGAGGCCAGGCACATGAAATGTCATGGTTCAGCATTTCCAAATAGTTCAGTCTTTATGTGCCCACGTTTTTCAATCAGAGATGTCGTTGGCTTTAATTGTTCCAATCAATATCAAAATAAGTTTAGAGAGTCATTTAATGCAGGGGTGACTCCTCTTACACTAAGCGATTAAAGTCCTTTAACACAGTGACACACAGGGTCACTGCCGTTCCTTTAGGGTGAAGGTGTCTGATCCAGAGGGTCCCTGGCTCCTGCTCTCCTTGCATAAATGAACTAACATTGCAAATAGATGCTGAAGTGCGTCATAAATTCCTAACAGAACTATTTCAAGAATTCTTTCTTTGAGGCGCCCGGGGGGCTCAGTAGGCTAAGCGTCTGACTCTTCATTTTAGTTCAGGTCATGATCTCACAATTTTGTGAGTTCGAGCCCTGCCCCGGGCTCTGCACTGACCGTGTGAAGTTGGCTTGGGGTTCTCCCTCTCTACCTGCCCCTCCCCTGCATTCTCTCCCTCCCTCCCTCCCTCTCTGTCTCTCTGTCTCTCTGTCTCTCTCAGTTGAAAATAATAAGCAAACTTAAAAAAAAGAGAATCCCTTCCTTAAAATGCTTAACCACTGTTTAAAATGCCACATGCTACATAATATGGTAGATCATTTGAAAGACAAATTCAGTTCAAAAATGAAACAGAACATAAGCACCATTTCCACTCCTTCTATATTTTTTTTTAAGTTCCCCCCAATGCAATAACACAGGAAAAATAAATAATGGCGAGAATGTTCACTGGAGAGATATTTAATAAATGCCTGCCAACGGCCAGCCAGACCTGGGGACACAGTGGTGAGCCAGTTACATAAGCTTCCACCCACACAGAGCTTACTTCTCATGAGGCACAGACACAAGAAGCACAGAATTTAAGAGATAGGTGAAGGTGGGTCATGCCACCTTCAGAACATGGCAGAACATGACAGACATGGGTCCCTACTGCAATGACTAATTGGGCCTCGGTGAGGAGGTGACATCTGACGTGAAAGATTTGAGGAAGAACATTAGTGGCAGAAGAGAAAGCATGTGAAAAGGCCCTGAGGCAGCGACAAAGTCGGCGTCTTCTGAGGGACAAGGAAGAAAGCAGTGGAGAGGGAGCCTCAGGTCAGAGGAGGCAAACCAGGGCGAGGCTTCGGAGGAGAGAAGACCACTACGCAGGGATTTGGGAGGGAGTTGGAATTCCTTCAAAAGGGTGGGGATCCGTCAACAGATGAGTGGAAAAACATGCGGTCTACCCACATAAGGGAATAATCTGCAGCCTTAAGAAGGAAGGAAATCCTATCACACACCACAACTTGAATAACTCTCAAGGACATTTGCTTCGTGAAACAAGCAGGGACAAAAGAACAAATTCTGCACAATGCCGCTGACATGAGGTCCCTGGCGGAGTGGGATTCTTGGCGACAGGAAGTAGAATGGTGGCCTTCAGGGGCTGTGGGGAGAATGGGGGGTTAGTGTTTAGCGGGCCGGAGTTTGGGTTTTGCAAGATGAAAAAGTTCTGGAGACCTTTTCCACATACTTAACACTAATAAACAGCACGCTTAAAAATGGTTATGATGGCAACTTTTATGTTATCTTTTTTGCAACAATTAAAAACATTTGTTTAGTTAAGGGTATTAGGGGCCCACAGGGGAGTTTTAAGCAGGGAACAGCCACACTAGAATTTTAAAATATGATTAGTTGAAAACAACCTGACTCTACTCCTAAGAAAATCTAAAAGACAAACTACCTGAAAACCGAAAGGTTAATATATAAGCCTCTGTGGTAGGGACAGCTATAAGAAAAATACACAGGAAAAATAAAAAATCAAGCAAAGTCATTAGCCATGAGAAAATAAGTGAAGTCATTAGCAAATAAAACCATTTTGAAATTCAAGATCCCATTTATAAAAGACTCAAGGATTTGAAATCATAATAAATCAAATTACTTACAATGGATGCCGTCATAAAAAACCTTGCAAAATTGCAGAATTGCTGAAGAGGTGCTCAATGAATCATTGCTGAACGGATGAGCAACATCGTAAAGCCTTGCGAAGAGGTTAGAAAAAGAAGACAAATTAAGTGGAAAACACCGTGTTCTAGTTTACAGATACAGTGTGATTCCAGTTAAAACATAAACAGGCTTCTCTTTTGTAACCCACTGTGTGAGAATCCCCAGTCAGCCCCGTGACACAGGTGCCTGTGAGACCCGCCCATGCAGCCCCGTGACACAGGTGGGACAGGAAGAATCCTCACGAAAGTCAGCAAGCTGAGGTCAGGGCCCCTCACACTCCCTGGGCTCCCTGGCCCTTCGCAGGCAGCTCAGACATTTTGTGTTTTATAATTTTGTCTTATCTTTCTTAAGAGAGCCCCCCCTCCAACTGTATGAGCTTCATGTTCCCCAAACCTGGAGTCTTTTCCCTGTGTGGGTATTGTAGAGAATATCCCAAATAGAAGAAAATGAATCGAAACTTAGCCTTTTTAGAAAATAGAATATTAGCTGCTGTAACAATAATAAAAAGTCACATGGAGTTGTTCAGAAATGGGAATAAAGACGAGCGGAATACCCAAGGCACAGTGAGCCCCAGCATATTATTCCACGATCTTTGTACAACAAAGAGCTAAGGATGAATTGTAATAGAAATAACACTGGGATAATGTCGCAATTTGGAGAAAAACTGATGTAATCCATAATTTACACAGTGGTCCCCAAATAAAGGAGGGTATTTAATGATTGCAAGCATATTCATAGAGAAAAATCGGCAGAAAATAGCCTGCCTTTGAAGAAATAAAAATAATACCTTTTTTCAATATTAAACAAGACGTGAAGGAAACTGATGAGCAAGTCAATTAAATTTTTTTTTTTTTTACAACAGGGGCACCTGGGTGGCTCAGCCAGTTAAGCACCTGACTCTTGATCTCAGCTCAGGTCAGAATCTCATGGCTCATGAGTTTGGGCCCCACATCGGGCTCTGTGCTGATGGCACAGAGCCTGCGTGAGATTCTGTCTTTCTCTCTGCCCTTTGTTTGCTTGTGCGCTCTCTGTCTCTCTTTCTTAAAATAAGTAAATAAACTTAAAAAAATAAGAATAAAAATTAAAAAAAATTACAACATTGATGAAAATAAAAAGTACTAGGTTAAACTACACAGCGTGTCCGTACGTGATGAATCACGGGAATCTACTCCCGAGGCCAACAGGACAGTGTATAAATGTCTATTAGCTAACTTGACAATGAATTACACATATAAAAAGAAACTACAGAGAGTAACATGTAAGACAGAATGTTTACATGAAGTGTGTGGACAAGTATGGTTTACACGGATAACACCCTGGGAAAACACTCAGATGCTCCGGGAGAATGAGTCGTAGCCAAGCACAAAAAATGTGCACATAAAATAAGGTAAAATGAATAAACCAGCACCTGAAATAGAAATTAGCGGAAGACCCCGTCTTAAATGCAAGAACCGTCTTAAACCTAGATCAGAAAAAGTTGCAACCACCACGTCCGGTGCGGGTGAAATCAGGTGGAAATGGAAGGCACCCACACCCCTGTGCACACAGCACAGCCAGAGGCACCAGAATTAGCACACGCCTTTTGTGGGTGACCGTATTGTGGTGACCAGCTTGCTTGCGTGGACTTCCCACTTCCAGGAACGTATCTGGAAGGAATGACGGGAGGAAATGCTCATTAACCACAACAATTAAGAGACTATGTGGAAACCCGGGGCAGCCACATGCTGCACTGTAATGTGAACCAGCTGCATGAACACAGACCCTCGCCCATGACCACTGGAGTAGAGAGAACTAACGTTCTACACTGCTCTGGCCCTTGGGGTATATCCACACACGTGTGTGTGTGTGTGTGTGTGTGTGTGTGTGTGTGTGTGTGATGTCGAAGAGCCATGAACGCTCAGACTGAGAGGAAATTGCCAGATATCAGAACTGCTTTAAAGTAAGAAAACAGTGGATTCCACATACATCATAAAATAATCCATATTTCCATCCTGGGTTTCTATTAAGATTCTGCCTGTCAGGACTGGATGCTCTTAAATGTCGCCACCAGAATGAAGATGTCCATTACCTGCACGTAAACCGTGAGATCCTGGCAGGCAATTTTTAAACATCAAAAGAGCGCTCCAGGAATTCCAAATAAAAAACCAACTCTTCCTTTCATTTGCTTAAAAGAGTTTTCTCTCTTCTTAGTCTCTCACTCTTGGTCGTGGACGCATCAAATAGATTGTTATTTTCCGCTTGGGGAGAAGGTATGGCTCAGTGTGACAGCCGCCTTTCAAACGTAAGCCTTTGGAGCCAAGTTCCAGTTGGGAAATGAATTTTTATAGCACAGTTTAAAGTAGAGAGGTGAAATCCTTAGCAATCTTCGGCTTTATCGCGTACTCCTTCATCTTTATCAGAAGGATCATCACCCCCACATCTCCACCTGGGGGCATGCTCTTGCAACTACAAAACAGAACTTTTACTGTAAGTTTGGTTTTTTTTTTTTTAGGAAAGGAATGTACCTTTTATAGAGTGAACACTTTGGTGTTATAAATCAAACAGAAGGGCTTTGACCATATGTTTAAGTAAAAAAAACAGGCTCATTCTCTATGGAAACTTTCTTAGCAAATATATAATGTTTGTTTGTGGTACAGCTGTGTATCTTGGGACCCTCTTGAGATATTTCCATCATATTCCAGCATATTCACGTCGGGGAAGAGTCTGGGTAGAACCCTCAAGTTTTTATATGAAATCAGCACTTAGAACAGTGCCTGGTATATGGTAAACACCACGTAGTTTTCAGATGTTGTTGTTGTCACTAAATTATGATTATGTGGCCTGTGTGAGTTTTCCGAGACCTAGCCAACAGCGGAGAATGTTTCTGAGGAAGATCAAATGACTCGAATTGGACATTTTGGAAACAATGATGCTTATGTTCCAAAGACATTGACGAAGGATAAAGCTTGCGAGATGGAAGATGTTCATAATCAACAAGCACATACTCAGTGCCCATTGTGGGCTTTACCACCCACAGAAAGTATGACTCTACATTATGATAGGGATATCGCTGATGGCCTCGGAGAGTGAACTCCTAGAATATTCAAGGTTAAATACACCATGGGGTGGGATTTGGATTATAAATAGCATGACACTTCTAGAAGATTTTCATGACTGGCTATGAATTTTGAATTGGTTAGGTTACAGCTGGGGAAAACTGGCGGGCCCAGAAATGAAAGGCCACAAGGGAACTAAGAGAGAAAAACAAGCTTCTTGACCAATGAGTTTGAAGAGAAAATGAGAACGAATAAGGGGTCAGTTAGCTTGTAGTTTGATAAGTAGTCACTCCCTCTGGCTCTTATGCTTCAACGCTCCCTCCTGTAACGTGTGACTCGTTAGTGATCCCACAGTCTGACCTCAGGCTCAGCTTGCCCAGAGGGTCGGAGCAAAGTGATGTAAACAGAGGCCCGAAATGCGCTTGCATGACAAGCCTTGCTTGCCTGTGTCCACCTGTGGTCAAGATGGGCCTGGCTAGACTGGAGGGTAAGGAACCATGGACAGAGCCAACAGACTTTGGGCATCCCAGCTGAGGCCACCCTAGATTGCCAATGGCTAGCAGAACCAGGATGTGGGATCCCAGCCCTAGACAGCAGAGCCATCTAGATGATGACCCACCGTAGGACAGGCAGCGACAATGGTCCATTTGACCTCCTAAATGTTTCTGCAATCCATGTTTCCCCATTTCTACAACTATCACCAAGACTATTCATTCACTGAAGAAACTATTTATACAGCACTTACTTTACCCCAAGTGCAAAGCCAGCCACCAGATCCTAACAGAGAGCAAGCCAGGTGAGTTCCCTGGAGACTCCTCGGTCCCTCTGCCTCTGCCCTAGGTCACCTGAGGTAGCATCTCCACACTGAAGTCAGGGTAGCATTCAATGTCCACATCTTATTATCTCACGCCCTACTTCCTGGGGTCGCCACGCTTCCTTTTACTATGCAGACTCTGCCTTTTCTACTCCCTCTGCTGAAAACGTTGCTTCCTCCAGTCCCCACCTGCTTAACTCATTCTCCAACAGGCCTAACAAGTTCACGTTCCCTCGTGTGGGCTCTCCTAACGTGGTGCTCTGCTCTAGCCTGCTGAGCACACTTGTGGTTTTACGGAATGATAATTAGATAAGAGTCCTTGTGTTCACTACCGTCTCACTCCAGGTGTGGAAACTCCATTACATTCCCAGGATCAAGGTTTGTGTTCAATAAACATTTAGGGAACGAATAACTGACATCATTTGATTTGAATATGAAGAAATGAGAACCAGGAAGGTCACACAACTTACCCAACATCGCATACTAAGTAACTGTCCAAGTCTGATTCGAGCCAAGACTCTCTGATTCCAGAGGCCACATTGCCAAGCTTCCTTACATTGCTAGGACTGTGCTCTCAGGTAAAGCCAGCACCATGACACCAGGGTGGCTCAGTCAGTTAAGTATCTGACTCTTGATGTCAGCTCAGGTTATGGTCTCACGGTTTATGAGTTTGAGCCCCACACAGGGCTCTGCACTGACAGCATGGAGCCTGCTTAGGATTCTCTCTGTCTCTCTCTCTCTCTCTCTCTGTCCCTCCTCTGCTCTCTCTCTCTCAAAAATATAACAATAATAATAATAATAAAACATTAAAGAAAGAAAGAAAGAAAGAAAGAAAGAAAGAAAGAAAGAAAGAAGCAGCCAGAAAGAAAAAGCAAGGACCCAAGCCTCCAACTCATTGCACCCTGGGCTGATTGTCTCACCTTGGCTGCCCGGCCAGCAGTCAGCCAAGCACAGGGACGCAGGGACTCAGAGAAGCTTTCCTTGGTCAGAGTTGCTGTCGTTTCTGTGTCCACCATTGCTCTGTACCCAGGGGCTGTGGGAGAATAGGGACGTTTCTCCCCGTTTCCACAAACTCCTCTGGCCTTTGATTTTCATTATCTCAAAAAAAAAAAAAAAGTCTCAACCATGTAGGGGACCATTAAAAGCCTTCACTTGTTTCAAGGGATCAGTAGCTCACAAAATGGT